ATTTTGACCCCTATATCTATTTTTAAATTTATCTTATATATATGCGCTAGTGTATAGAAATCAGTGAGTAGGTAGTCTCTCGAAGGAAATAACGAGAATTTATGGTGCTGTTCAAAGCAATAATTTCACATGTTTTCCCAGCCATTCTCATGTTTCTCGACCGTTCTGTTACTTGCGGGTGCTGCTTGCGTAACACCAAGTGCATACAGTAATGCGAACGTGTGTTAAAGCACATAATTAAGTTCACTAATATATGCAACGACCTGCATTTCAAAATAGATTTGTTTGCACATCTCAACGTCACTAGCACGTGAATCTCGCATTTATCTCTACACTATGATTCCTTTGTCGACGTGTCGAGGTAGTGTACCAGTCTAAACCAATTTACGTCACGTAAACATATGCATTTGCTTTGTGGCAACATTTTCATATTCTATTTTCGCGAATCTCAGAAATACAGGTGTAAGTTTGCAGGTTTTTTTTTGCTTTTTTATAAACGATAACAACACAGTCACATAGTATTATTATGTTGGAGTAATCACTAACATTTTCGCTAGTAAGTGAGACGTAATTTGTCTAAAAGGATTATTTTTCCGATTTATTTAAAAGATAATTATTTTAAAATGGCTTCCGGAACACCACTTTGCATCACGTTATTGTACAGTGTCCAATAATATGTGCGCACAGAGAAAAAAGAAACGCGTCCAAGATAACTATGATAGTGCATACTCGGCAACTAACAATAGCACTCGTCAGTTAGTTTTGCAGAATCTTTTTATACAATGCCTGTGCCGTTTTTTAGGGGTGTCGATCACTTTCCCCCGTACCGGGCGTAGATGGAGGGTGCCGTTACGTGGCAGCACTAGTCACTTCGTACGCGTTAAAGTCCAAATCTTCCACAGAAAGATTCCACAGTCATACTTCCGTGCTAGACATGGCCTTATTTCCCTAACCCTAACCCTAATCCTAACCCTAACCCTAACCCTGACCCTAACACAAGTGCAGCCACATCACGTGACCCTCCATCTACGCCCGGGGGAAAGTGCCCTGAAATCCGCTGGCATATGTACTCTGGCGTGAAAATTGGAAGCGGAAATTATAATGAGGCGAGTGGGATCATGAATGAATCAGCGAGCTTGAATGCACGTGCGTGAATGCGTGCGTGCGTGCGTGCGTGCGTGCGTGCGTGCATGCGTCCGCCCGAAGAAGGTCAACAGTCTAGGACGGGATTCATCAACGCACCCACCCACACACGATCCGAACGCACACACGTACTCTGCCCAGTATTGGTGTGCCAGATTTGGTTCAGTACGCCCCTAGAGGGCACCACTCTGAGACAATACAATGAATACATACTTAAGTTAGTGAGATAGATAGATAGATAGATAGATAGATAGATAGATAGATAGATAGATAGATAGATAGATAGATAGATAGATAGGTAGATAGATAGAT